TTGTTGAAAACGTGATTGCACGAGTGACTTCAAGTAAATGTCTATTTTTTCTTTCTGCAAATCCATTCTGAGCTGGGGTAGTGGTAGAAGAGCTTTGATGGATTATTCCTTTTTCAGCAAAAAAATTGTTTAGGATTTGAGAAAAATATGCACGGCCATTATCACTTCTTACCATTTTAATGTTGGTATTAAATTGAGTTTGGGCCATAGCATAAAAATCCCTAAACACTTTTTCAACTTCAAATTTTTCTTTGATTAAAAATACCCAAGTAACTCGTGTATGATCATCAATGATAGTTACAAACCATCTCTTTCCCTTTATAGTTGGTATTCGAGATGCACCCCAAATATCACTATGTACCAAAGTAAAAGGACTAGTAGGTTTATAACTTTGGGGAATATAAGAGTTTTTATGATGTTTTGCAAGTGCACACATATCACAATGAAACAAAGACACATCTTTATTCAGAAATAACTGAGGAAACATATTTTTTAAATAATAAAAACTAGGATGTCCCAGTCTATAGTGAAGTAAATACAACTCTTTATTATTGGAAAAAGAGACAGTTTGTAAACAAGCATTCTTTTGACCTCTTTTATTTGATTGAGTCCCTTCATCAAAGATATAGAGTCCATCTTCCTCCCTAGCACTGCCAATCATCTTCCCTGATGACACGTCCTGAAAAATGCAATGAGAAGGGTAAAAAATTACACAACATTGAAGGTCTTTAGTTAACTGACTAACAGAGGCAAGATTGCAGGACAGATTAGGAACATGTAGGACTTTGGAGAGATTAACAAATGAAGAAATTTTAACATTTCCCATCCCTGCAATGATATGACAAGAAAAGATTTGAAATGGAGGTCATATGGTCTGTGGCTCTTGAGTCAGTGACCCTGGGCATAAGAACAAGAGGAGGATTCTATTTAGAAGGTTAAGGAGTTGCTTTATATGTTCCTTTGTGAAGGAAGGTTGCTTGAAGTTGACTTGTGGTTCTTGTTGAGTCTCAGCCACAGTTGTATGTAGAGCTTTTTGAAACTTCTTCTTCCCTGCTCCTGGTGGTTTCCCATGGATTTTGCAGTGATCACACCAGGGTTTTTTCTTGTCTTCACTTCTGACCACCATTGCTGAAGAATCTCCAGGTTCATTAGCATGTACTGGAGTATTGTACCTAACTTTCTTCCTAACACATCCTGATCTCAGAAAAAACTTCTCTGATTGAAGGCAGAGGTTTTTTTTCAAGTATTCTTCCCTTCACTTCATCCAGATCCCTATTAATTCCTGCTAGGAACATATAGACCCTATCATTCTCCTCTCTTTTCCTATGTCTTGACAGATCCTTAGCACTTTCCCACTCTTCATCATCATAGCATTGATCTAATTCTTGCCATAGAGATACCATCTCATTGTAGTGTGAGATAACATCTCTATTGCCTTGTTTAGTCTGCCACAACTTGGTTTTGAGTTCAAAAATCTGAGAGGAGTTTTCAAGATCTGAATAAGTTTCCTTAATAGTCTCATACCTCTTTTGCAGTTTTCATAAACATATGAGGTTTGGCGATTGATGCATCCATTGAACTAAGAAGCCATGTTGTTACTAGTGAGTTTTCTGACCTCCAGACATTGTAGCCATCTTCACCACATTTCTTTTCCCTAATTTTACCAGTTAGGTATCCCAGTTTGCCTTTGCCATCAATTGCTAATTTGACGGACTGTGACCATTCTGGGTAATTTCTTCCATTCGATCTATGTCCAGTGATGAGCATAGATGAATTAACCGATGCCTGATAGTTTGCCATTGAGCTAATATGGGAATTAGGGTTACTGGTTTGTGATTGGGAAGATGAGTCAGAGTTTTCGAATTCCACCATTGTGGTGTGTAAACTCACTGCTCTGATACCATGTAGGTTTTAAGAATAAAACTTCCTTGATTATACTGAGTCATACGACCAAAATATATATACAGAGTACAATAAACAAACTCCTTGTGCAGATCCTAAAAAATAGGATCTATCTAAACTACAATACTTATCTACTAATTAATGTAGTTTAACAACTCTACAATCTTATCTATACAGCTACACACGTACACTATCTAATAATAAATAATAAATGTAACATTTTCTACATAAATAATATGGATACTCCATTTATTGAATGAAATCGGATCGAATACATCAATGCCTATTAATTTGTGGTGTGATAACCAACCTGTTATGCACATTGTGAATAATCCAGTATTTCATGAGAGAACAAAGCATATTGAGGTTGATTGTCATTTTATTCAGAAGAAAATGCAAAAAGGATTGATCTCTACTGGATATCAAGGTTCGAAATTGTGTATTGCGTAGTCGTGATGTTTTTTATTATTGCATATTGTGTAAGCTTTATTGGGCAATGAGGTGTCGGTCTGAGACGTAAAATTTGTGTGTGTGTATTAAAACAGAAAGTCTGATACACCATATTAGCATAATTTTAACCCTGGAAAATAATAAAATATTAATATGCAGAATATATTTACAAGTTGAAGCACATTAATATTAGCAGAGAATTAAAACGAACTAGGATATAAGATTGGACATGCCGACATGGAATAAATCATATTAGTTAAAGATTATCTATAAATCTTTAATATAAAATAAATAAACTATAGTTGCAGTCATGTAGAGAAGCCTGAAACCACATGACAAGATTATATGAGGAAGGCAAACAAAAAGTACCTCAGAAGAAAGGTTTGTAATTGCACAAAGAAGCAAGTTAAAACACGGAAGATGAAGAAGTTGACGAAGAATACTAATAGCTGTCAGTCATATTGCGAACACCTAAACGTTTATTATTAAATTTCACGCCACAAACCGCCTTAGAGCATAGGTCAGATTGTGCACGCCTCAAACTGCCTTAGAGCATAGGTCAGATTGTGCACGCCTCTGCGCAACACATCGTATGCCATGACCACCTACGCCATATGCCATGCAATATTACGCTATACTCCCGGAATTCTCTGAGGCGCGCCGCGCAATTTCAATCGGTGTCGGATATGTGAGGACCGGAGAACAACTTGGAGATTTATTCACTAAAGCACTTTATGGGATTCGAATTGATTAACTATGTAACAAGTAAGGCATGATAAACATTTGTGCTCCAACTTGAGGGGGTGAAAGATATGAGAATAAGTATAAGAATATTCTTTAGAATATTTTAGGAATATACTCTAGGATATTATTATTGTATAGCATTTTTATAGGAATATTTTAGTAATATATATTTATAGGGACTTACCCTCCAATGAAATAAACAAAAAATGTTTCCTTCTATCGTGAATATTATTCTAGTTTGTATTCCAATTTCCAACAGTCTTAGTGGGAAGCAATTGAAGACATCAACTGATATGGTAGAGAGGTGACAAGAACCTACTGTAACGGTCTGGTTTGCACTAGCGGCGATTTTCAGCATCAATCGGATAAGTAATGGTAATTGAACCATCGACCAAACATTCGAGATTGAAGACCAAGAACCTGGGTACGCAGAATTGCAACCATTGACTTTCGCTGTTAAGTGGTTCCCGCTAAACATGAAGAATCCATCAAGGACAAAATCCGGGAATGATCTGGGTTGAGCAGGAAATATTTGGACTCCAGAATCAGAGCAGGTGTTAGGGGGGTATGAATTAGGATTTTTCTATAGGCATGGTTGCGACTTGCGAAATTAATAGGAATGTCGTCTGCAATCATAGAAGGAACAGGACAGGCTTTGTTAGAGCTTGTGAGGCTCTAATACTATGAAAAGGATTGAAGAATGTTAAGATATATTCATTCAGTTGAGTATAATACGTGTGCTAAGATTGTTCTGCAGAGTAAGTTAAGAATCTAAGCATAATTACAGCATAATTGCAAATTGATTCTCCAATTGATATGGTAGTATGGTACTAAATAGGTTAATGTGAATCTGAGAGTTACTATAAAACAGATCAGGAAGGATTCTTTCCTTCTACAATTTCCACCTCCGCAATCCCCCCCCACAGCACAACTGCAAGCTCACTTGAATATTAGTATATTACCATTTTCTAGTTTAGTTTTTTCCCTCAAATGGTGTAGGAGGGGATATGGAGTGGGGTGTGCATCACTAGTAATCATCACCATCATCCTTTAAAACTATTAGTTTCCAACTATTAGTATTGATGTTTCCCTAATAGTATAGAAAATTCTCTCTAATACATACTACCTCCGTTCTTAAATAAATGCAACACTTTGACTTTTACACTATTCACATGTTCTACTTTGACTACGTTTTATTTATTAATGTAATAATATTATTTCATGAAAAAAATATTATTAAACTTGTCTCATTGTAAATTTTCACAATCTAATTTTTTAAATTTTTTTACTAATACAAAATCATTTATATTAATGGTCAAAGTTGTGTCTCGGCAAGTGTGAAATGTTGACGGTTGCATTTATTTAAGAACGGAGGAAGTATAAGTTTGGTTTACTATTGTCCACCAAAGCTCTTAAAACTATTTTTTTTAATATTACTACCTCTGTCCCACTAATATTGAGACGAAAAGGGGTGGCATGGTTATTGAGAAAAGTGGGTTTGTTTGGTTGATATTAATTGATAAGGTAAAAATAAAGTAAGAATGATTTAGAGCCACACAAACTTTACCAAATTTGGTATGAGACAATTTTAGTGGGATTTCCCGAAAATGTAAAATGGAACAATATTAGCGGGACGGAGGGAGTAGCTCTTAAAACTAATATAAATAGAGGTCTTCTATTCATTGATTACAATCAATACGTTTGAAGTTCGACCTCCCAATCACGCCCCTAACAGGCTCACTTCATGAAGAGAGAAAAGAGAATGTCACGTTCAGCCCTTGGCAACCAGGTGTAATTATTACCACAGTATAAACTTGAGCATTATAAGTGCCACTACCATGAGCAAAAAACTATTATACCAAGCATTCAAAACATGAACCAAGATAAATGCATCAAAGGAATACCTCCAATTTTTCACTCTCTCCCTTCAAAGCATCAATAGATTTCTTCAGCTCTTTGACTTGAACATCAGCATTCGAAAGCATGGCCTGTTCCCAGCAATAAAAATCCACATTAAAACTGCCTTACAATATCAAAGGCGCTTAATTCATGTAACTTAGAGTGTGGCAGGTCATGCAAGGTCCATTGCCCCTCGGTCATCCATTTGCTGTCTTTCCCATGTGACTGTTACCATTGGTTTATTAGCCTTACCATGAATCCTGAAAATCTATGTGACAACTTTCTGTCTTCATAACATCAAGTACACACCTGACTTGAAGTGTTTTATCTTTTACATTATTTTTCTGTTAATTCTTTTCATATTTAAATTACCTCAACAGGCTCAACTTTTTTCATATAGAGTTGTATTCCTTCACTAGTTTGTATGAGTTATTACTCTAAGGCATTTATGTTTGTAGGAGTAAAACAGCACATCTTGTATTAATCTGTAACCTGTTTCTACTGTTTAAGAAATACTTCATTTTATAATTTTATCAATCACACATGCTGATGAAGCCTAGCCAGCTTCAGCGTCTATTACATAAGAGCCATAAAAAATGCAAATATTTGTGCTAAAAACAGCAGTTGTTGCACCAACGGTAGATTACCTCTTCAGTGGACAATAGGCGCCTTGCTTTGCCGTACAAATATCTCCTTGGCCCTGCGGTTAGTAAGCAACTCTCAGGTGAAATAAAAAATGGATAGATGAATATTGGCGTGACATCAGATAACACATAATAACTGACTCATGCCTAAGCTTAAATTTTATACAGTTTGGTCTCTTAACTACATATATTACTCCTATGTACTCCGTATATCTTGTTATAATAACTGAATAAAATGAACGATATTGCCTTCTGGTTAACAATGACATTGTCCAATTAACAATGATTCATAGGGCTAGATGCAAGTGTAAAATAAAGATATGTTGCTTAATGGACCTAAGCCTCTATTTAAGAAAAACATTTGGTTCAAGTGACTATGTTAATGGAAAAGAAAGTGTTATGACTGTAGTACACTTACTTTTTAGACCCAAAAAAACAAGACCAAGAAAAGCTCCGGTTGTGGTCAGAGGATGAGAGGATGCAACATCAATGCCCTCTGTAAACCCAACTCATTAGTAAACATATTAAAGAAGTACTTTGAAACAAATAATTAAAGTGATTGTTAAATAGTAGTACAATTTTAAGCAGGGTAAACCTTTAATCTTCCCAACAGTGATGTCCTCATATACGTGACATTCAGCCTTAACAGCTTGCAAGGTATCCTGCATCCATTTTACCGTGAGTCAATTGCATCTTCACAAAGAAGACGAGTTTGTATGCATCATGAGCAAAATCATAATCAACTTCTGGATCGTAATGTATTTCTCAGCACAACACAAGAATGACCTCGCAGCAATGCACCGTGAAATAAATGATTTGATCGCTGCGACTTTTTGATAAATAAGTAAAAGTACTCAAATTTCGAAGTGTTTCATTCCAACCGTAAAATATATGCAGAAAAAGTATTGCAACTTGGCAAGCTAAGAGTGCCAAAGCTAGAGAAGAAATACAAATATTACAAGACTTCGATTGAAATGAGCAGAGGAAGTGGTCAGGACACGATCCATTCTAGAATTTGTTACAGCGATTGCATTCTCTAATGCAGTTACAATAGTCTGCTGCGCCTGCCGCGCCTGTTGCAGGGCATCACCGATCCACGGCGCAGCCTGAGCTAAGGTTTCAAAATTTTCCAAGTGGTTGCCTTGCTTTGGATGAAGTGACGATGCCGCGTTGCAAGGCGGGGCTTTTGAATTCTCTCCAGAAGATTCAGCATTTACAGACATGGTTACACTTAAAAAGGACAATGCGTTCGCTACTTCGCGATGACGATAATGGGCGATACAATTGTTGATTACGTTAACTAGTACTCCCTCGGTCCCTAAAGTAAAAACTCCTTCCCTAAAGTAAAAATGTGGTTGAGCTTTGTGCAGAAGAAAGAGAATGAACCGGAAGCACAATTTCTTTACTTAAAAAGGAAAGTTTCAAAGTTAATGGGACATCCAAAAAAGGAAAGTTGGCAAAGTTATAATGGACGGAGGGAGTATTTATTTATTGCTCGGCATTCTTTTATACTCCTCCCTCCCGGAATTTTCTTTAAAGAGAATCGGGCGTCAACTCACGAGGGTTTGACGCATTCAATCCTGTTTGTCACAGGCTGCACGGTTGGCACCGTACAGCCGGTTGTACCATATACGCTTCCATGGTGGTATATGTGGATATCACTGCACATTTATTTGTGTGGAGATCTCAATTATGTGAGTCATAATTAGGTGTGCAAATGAGCTGAGCAGCTCGTGAGCTGCTCGGTCAAAGCTCCAATCGAGTACGGTCAAACTCGAACTCGAGTCGAGCTCGAACCAGCTCGTTAAGCAGTCGATCCATAAACGAGCCTAGTTTTATATGTATGTATATTGATATTAATATATTATCTACAACATAAATTGATATATAGTATATATTAGTATATATAATATATAATATATTAGTATATATTAGTATATATAATATAAATTAGTATATGTATATAATACCATTTCGTAAATGTCTATGAGGATCGGGGAGATATTATTACTTATAGAGTAATTTAACACAAATGATCAAAGTTTCATCCACTACTTCTTCATGGTTTGACCAATTTTGATTTATATTAGAAGTGCAACTGTGTGGAGACTTGAAGTTGGGATTATATTGTGTTTATTTTTTGTTTACTGTTGAGGTTAATACCCACGAGTATTGATCCTCTTCATAGCTTCCCGATAACATGTTTGGGCTGTCGCAGGGTCTGTCCGGACCACTCCAACTCCAGTGTCTGTTGGGAATTTGATGCATGAATGCCGAACAGAGGCTATCGCCTCTAAATCCTCCAATCTCGGTCGACCCAAAATGGCGTTGTGGGCACATTTGATGTCCACCACCACGAACGTCATTCGGATCGCTGCCTTGTGAACTTCATCTCCAATCTCAACCAGCAATTGGATGGTGCCTTCTGCCTCAATACATTTCCCGGTAAAACTTGCAAACGACGTCTTCAAGGGGGTCAGCTGATCTCTATGTAGCTCCATGTTTTTGAACGCGTGTAGGTACAACACGTTCACGCTGCTCCCAATGTCTATCAACACACAGCGAATCAGCGCGTTGTCAATACACATGTTGATCACCGGTTCATCCCCGTGCGGATATGGTGAATTGGGTAGGTCTGTAGGGTCGGATGTAATGGGCTCAATCCTTCCTTTCTTCTGGGGTGGGGTGGAGACGGACGCCACATAGAGGCTTTGTTCGAACTTTTTCCGTTCGGCCGCTGAATCTCCGGTTTCCCCTCCCCCGAAGATCGCTTTCACTTCCATTCTTGGCTTCTTTCCTGGGTTCCCCGACCCTTCTGTTTCCTCTCTGGGGTTGGTACACATCATTTCTTGGTTCGACATCACGCCAATCATCCTGTCTCTAGCTATTAGACTTCTTGTGCTGCCCCTGATTTGGGGAAGGCCTGTTCGGGTTATTGTTGACGTACTTACTCAGATGGCCCTCCTGGATCAAATCCTCGATATCAATTGCCAGAGCTCGGCAATTCTGGGTGTGGTGACTCTTCCGCTTGTGATACATGCAAAAGGCATTCTCACCTTCCCCCATATAAGATCTGGTATCAGTCGGGGGTATGATGTCCTTCTCGTGCTGTGGAATGGTTGCAATGGACAGGACGAGTGGGGTGAACCGTTTTATCTTTGAAGGGGGTGCGGCCGCCAGGAGAGGACCCGACCGATCGGCCAATCTCGTTGTGCAGAAGGTGTAGCTACCTTATCTCTGATCATAATCTCTTCCTCCAGTGCGGCATGCTTTCGGGCCCTCTCCAACACTTTGGCATACGTTGTGCCTGGGTTCTTCCTCAGATCCCTATAAAGTTCCCCGTCTGGAGGGCATCGGTGAAGAGGGTGATTGTCGTATCCTCTGTCATACTCCCAACCTTTAGGGTTTCATCTCTCCATCTTGACAAAAACCTTGTTGATGGACTCTCTTGGTCCCTGTTTGAAATTGGTTAGGTAGTTGAAATGTCATACAGGGGTGGCACTAGAAGCAAACTGTGCCAAGAATAAAGAGGACAGCTCGGCAAAGCTACAGATCGATTCAGGCTGCAGGGTGCTGAACCACTCCTAAGCAGGCCTCAGAGCGTGCTGAAAAATAGCCTGCAAATTGTTGCATCTGTTGGTCCCAACAGCATGAGGCCTCCTTGGTAACTTCTCAGGTGTACATGAGGATCTCCCGTCCCATCGTATGTCAGGGCGGTTGGTGGTCTGCAATCCCTGAGGATTCCAGCATTCATTACTTCCCTTGTGAAGGGAGAGGTGATCTCGACCCATGCTGGCATGGGTTGTAGGGGTGTTTTGTTCAGTTGTTCTCTCAATTACGTCATTTGTCTTTTCATTTCGGCCATTTCCTTCTCCTAGGCCGTTCGGGTGGTGGTGGTGGAGTTCTTAGATCCACCAAATCTGGGGTTCTCTCTGGTGGGGGCATATTCACACTATGACGTCTCCGTATGTATCTGTTGCCATCATGCTCTTCGTAGTGGAATCGGTGCCCAACTGGCGTAGCTTATCTGCATCGGGACTATTTCATTTAAGTCTATTATATCTTGGAGATCAGTGAAGCAGTGCACTATTGCTAAGTACTCCACGGAAGCAGAATATCGAGCTCTTTCCACCGCTTCCTCTGAAATTATTTGGATCGAATCTCTATTATGTGAGTTGCGGAACCCGCTTCTTTCTCCTCCACTCCTCGTGTGTGACAATAAAGGTGCTACTACATCTTCAGTCAATCCTGTCTTCCACTCCCGCATGAAACATGTAGCTATTGATTTTCATTTTGTTCGGCAGCGGGTTCAACGTGGCCTTCTTGAAGTGCATCATATCCCATCTTCTACTCAGATAGCTGACGCCCTCACCAAACCACTTCCCCGGCAACGCTTTATCCTTCTTCGAGACAAGCTCAGGATTCTTGGAAGTGACAGAATACCTGGCTTGCGGGGGCGTATAGAAGGAAATAAATAATTGACATTCAAGACATAATATCTCATTTAGTCGTTACATATCGTTATCTTTAATATTGTATTATTACCTACCTTATAAACTTGATTAGTGATTGTATAAATAGCACCTATTGTAAATCCTTTTGATCATCGTTGAATATACAAAAATCTTTCGCTCCTCTCTTCCCTATTAGGGACCCGATCGGTGTGCGATCGCTAGGAGTGTGATGCCTGTCCCTAGTCGCGTGAGCTCTTCGATGATCTCCCTGATGGGCCCGTGAATGGACCAAAGCCCTGGTTGTTTTAGTAGTCTCTTCATCAAACGATCGCATCCGTCGGATTGGGGAAGGGGGTGTATACATGGTCTCCGTTGTGTGGCTGGATTGCCCCCCATCCTACTCATCCGCCAACTGTTGCATCACCTTGGCTAGATCTCGCATGGCATGTGGGTTTCTCCTGAGTGCTTCGGGGATGAAAAAGTCCCCATCGAATTGTTGGTATGACGTCTCGCTGGATCATCCCTGGGTAGTCCAGCTCCCCGGTGTCCTGCTGTCCCCGCGTCTTCCCAAGCTTCCATCAGTATTTTGGGAGGTGATTCTGACCATCTCGAAGGTAGATTTATGCTTTAGTTAAGTGGTGGTTTTGAGACTTTTCGTCCAAAGTTTCCCACAGACGGCGCCAATGTTGAGGTTAAGGCCCGTAGACCTGAAAGCCCAACACGCTTTGGATATTAAGGACGCGGGTATTAGCTCGAGGGTCAAAGAAAATATAAAAATTGAATAATGTAGTACTCAAAAACCCACTTGTATTAGAGCAATTCGCTGATTACACTTGAATTGCCCGAACGGTATGTCGGGATAGTAGCTAATACAAGAACAAAAGTGAGAAATCTATGCTAAGGCTCTGAGTATCAAAAAGTTAACCTGTTACAATGTGATTAATGTCCTATTTATACTAGAAATGGGTAGGTGAGGGATATGGGGTGCTCCAAGATGATTGGTTGCTTTTCATGCCGCTTGGACACCCATGCTCCCACTTACTCACATCATACTCTGGCATTTAATGCAGCTTACCACTTGCGGACTGATGATCTTGGCTGGCGTTGTTAATCTGATTCAAGTATACTATGTGACTCGTTCAGGATATTGGGGTGAACTCCCATTGAACATCGGTTCTCGTTCGGGTTAAAGTTCTTCATGGACCCGTCCTCCTTCTCGTGTCCTTAATGGCTTTATATGTAATTACCAACTCTTTATTTGTATATATATCAGCTTCTTTTAACTATTAATAAGCAGAAAAAGTACTTAGACTTTCAGATTTGAAACACAAACTCACCAAATAGAGAATGATCACTGTGAATTATTATTGAAAGAGCTAATTGTGGGGGGCAGAACTTTGATGAAAACTTCAATTAATAAACAAAACAAAACCAAAACAACATTGTATAGTAAAAACATTTTCAAATTTTGATTTAAGGGTTTCAAAAGTACTGCTTACAATCAAAAGAAACACAAATCAGTTACATTGTTAGCCTAAATTAAACTAACTTTGAACACATTTTTTAAGAAGTCACATAACACATCTGCTTGAAAAGAGAGAAATTTTGAGACTAACCTTGAAAAGAGAGGAAATTTGGAGACTCACAATAATAATTTTGTGCCAAATGAAAGAGTGACCTTTAATAACAAAACTTCTAATGTGACATTTAATAATAACATTAAATGCCTGAACTATTGTTGTTGACAAATTTTTCTTTGGAAAATTAAAAAAAGCACATGGCTTCGCAATCTCATATTAGTACAATACTTTTAGAGTTTCAATCAACACTTTGTCAGTTTTAACTTAAAGGAGCATCAACGTATAATGTGCATATTTAAATATCTAACAAAACGAGT